TGGTGTTATACCTGGGAAGAGACGACAGTGACAAAAAACGGAGCAGGTACGATTTTCTCCTTCGAATTTGAACTTAAGGTTAAATTTGCACATGCCTAGGTACGAGACCTTTAATAACGCTATTCTGCTTCATCACGCTTTCGCTGAGCCAGCACCAGATTACAAGAAGAAGCAACACATATTTCGTCTTAGGACCGCGAACTTGGGCGAATATTTATTCCAAACGACGTAAGTACTGTAGGGGATCTGCTTAGGAGTGGAATGACCTGGAAATTGGATATTTAAGGAGTGCTGCCGAGGTAGAGGATTGGGTTGTACAGATTAATTTCGCCTGTGCACGCTTCTCTTCCCGAGCCCTTCCTCCACCCGCATGCTCAGGTGGAGCCTTCTCAAGAGCACGCTTACCAAAACTACCAAGTTCTGCCCCATTGGCTCAGCAATTAAGGGTGAGAGTTACTTTGGCTACTTTCCCATATATCTCTATTGTATACCATAAATCTGCTTTATAGGCTCATGAATGTGCCGCCTGCGAGCTTCGGGAACAGTTGTCGCGGGTTAGACAGGAGGCTCCACCTCTTAAAGCCAAAGGGCGACCTGTTGAAGAATTTTTCTTTAAAGAACGTTATTTGACCCAGGAGGTAAGTATCTCATGAAGAAGTTTTATGTGATTAGTACTGATCGATATATCGATTGCTGTGCTCTGTTTCAGATTCTCCGCTATGATACGTACTGCCATTTGTTACGTTCCCGTCTCCCTGGTGGAGGATGTGAATTAGGCGGAGCACCTTCAGATTCCACTTCTGGCGTACATTCCAAATCCGATATCGCTGATGATTTGGATAAGATGAGCTACCGTGAAGCACTAAATCATCATTGATTTATTGATTAGTGAATGATCCCAAAAACTCAATGAGCTCTATGTATGTATCAATGTTGTTATTTAGTTTTAGGGTCAAAGTTATTATTCGCTTTTTTGCAATAACGCGAAAACCAATTCTTACTTTGTAGTATTACTGAGTACTCAAGTAATATTTACCATTTCTTTACTCTAAAGTTACCCTTGATAACTTTCTTAGGTAAAGGCCGACATTCCGAGTGATGGTTATTTTTAATTCTTGAAATTTGCTTGTTGGCCTTTATCTCAATATATCTGCCGGGATAATGCTATCTGCCTATGTAAATGTGATGCTACATACATCTTTTTCGTATCGATTTTTGTGCATGCGTAAACGCGCGCGCTGCACTTTTGCTCAGAAATCGATAAAATTTTCTAGCAATTTCATTCGCCTTCTTCGGTAATAATTCTCCTACGTGGAGAATTGTTGCCGCGGTGCTTGAGCGAGCGAACGGGTTCTTCACGACAATCGATTTATTGACCAATAATATCGATTTCCCTAAATTTGTCGCTAACGCCTTATCAAGCCTATCACATTTATCGATTTGCTGTCTTGTATCATTTTGTAACCCTTTTACCTTTTCCCTTACCCAACACATAATCATTATCCCAAATCAGTAATTCATCTGCTTATGCTTACTGTTGCGTATCATTGTTTTATTGATTGATTTTAAGCATAATCCACAAAGAAGAAAAACTGCTTTTAATTCTTTCGGGATTTT